GTTGGGAAGTAATGGCATTATTTCCTGTGGCCATGTTCAGGGCTTACTTATTAGTGCTTGAAACCTAGAGGGATGGAGAAAGACAAGGAAGTTAGCAGGGAAGTGGACTATTACTTAGCGACTTGTGTGGACTATTAATGTAGAAATGAAGGAGGCTCGGTTCTGTTCTCAAAGAGACCAGGAGCTGATGTGAGAAACACCTCACAACAACCTGATGACATCACAGAGTTCTTAACTAGTTAAGGGTATTTTTTTCTCTATTTTATTTCCTTTAAAAATATATTATTGATTTCAAACAGGAAGGGAAAGAGATGGAGAGAGGGAAGAAGGGAGGGAAAGAGAAAGGGAGAAAGAGAGAGAGAGACAGAGAGAGACAGAGAGAGAGAGAGAGAGAGAGGAGAGAGAGAGAGAGAGAGAGAGGGAGAGAGGAAAGAGAGATGAAAGAAACATCATAGATCAGCTTCCTCCTACAGGCCCCACACTGGGGATTGAGCCCATAACTGGGGCATGTGCTCTCCCCTGGAATCAAACCGTGACCTTCTTGTTCATAGGTCGACACTCAATCACTGAGCAACACCGGCCAGGCTTATTTCCTTTTTTATTAACAGTGAAACAAAATCCAGTTGTTCCAAAGTATAGATTTGATCTAACATTTGTAACATTTGAGAACCATTAAATCAAACTCTGATTCTCTTCCTCCTTTCTTGACAGAATAAGTGCCCCCCCTACATCCCTCGCTGTCCCCAATCTCTTCTATAGATTTGATCGGACATTTGTAAACATAGTCTTTTTATAAAAGTGGGTGCTGAGGAAAGAGCTCTAACGGCCCTGGGAGATGGAACTGTGCCGGTTTTATCTGCAGGCTGCAAAAAGGTGGTGGCTCTGGCCAGGGATGTGGGCCCATTACCGGGGTCACCTGAACCGGGGGTTGGCTCAAGTGGCCACTCACATTAGAAACTGTGATATGCCAAGACCGGTTTGACTCAGAGGATAGAGCGTCAGCCTGCGGACTGAAGGGTCCCAGGTTCGATTCCGGTCAAGGGCATGTATATTGGTTTCGGGCACATCCCCAGTAGGGGGTGTGCAGGAGGCAGCTGATTGATGTTTCTAACTATCTCCCTTCCTCTCTGTGAAAAATCAATAAAATATATTAAAGAACAAAACAAAACAAAAAACTGTGATGGCCATCCTGCCTGGGTGTGAAGGGTCTGTGCTTGAGGAAGATATAAGGAGTCCTCTTTCTCAGCACCGGTGCTGGGCAAGGGGCCTACTTTCCACCAGAATAGACCTAACCCTTGCCACCGTGGCCTGGGCTGCCTTCCGGGAACAGCTTCATCTGCACAGGAAACCCACAGAGAGCGTCCATTGCCACTCCCGAGCCCTTTGCCTCTTTCCTGGGAGACTCAAGTGTCCAGGGCAGCCTCCTCCCTGCCTGCTCCAGCCCAGCAGCCTCAGGCCCGGGAGCTGGTGAGGAAGTGAGAAAGCCTTCATGGAGGGCCCGGACGCTTGGCTAGGAGCCCCCCGCCCCCTTTCCTTGAACAAGACTCCCAAAAGCATCAGGAATCCCCTTGGCATGGAACACGGCGGGGAAGTCTGACTGGGAATTGACTGGGGCATTATGGGTATGTGGAGGGAGTTCCTTCTGCCACCTTATTAGTTCCATTTTATGGAATGTTTGCTGACTACTGCTCTAGGGCTGAGGAACTGAGGCTTTTAGAAACCGAGAAACTTGCCCACGTCTCAAAGCTAGGAGCTGCACATTCCAAGTTCAATCTGTTCCATGATGTTGTCCGCCAGGCTCCTGACCCCCGCTCTGTCACTAAAGATGGGCCCTCTGAGAAAATCCTGGTTAGAGTCACTCCAGTGCCTATCTGCCTCCTGAAGAATTAGGCAGGCTAGCTCCCTTGGGCCCTGGGGCACACGAGCTTCTTCTTTGGGCCTCTGTTTTCCCATTCTGTGAGTTAAGAATGTGTAAGCTCTCTCTAGTCCAGTGGTCGGCAAACTCATTAGTCAACAGAGACATCTATCAACAGTACCACGATTGAAATTTCTTTTGAGAGCCAAATTGTTTAAACTTAAACTTCTTCTAACGTCACTTCTTCCAAATAGACTCACCCAGGCCATGGTATTTTGTGGAAGAGCCACCCTCAAGGGGCCAAAGAGCCGCATGTGGCTCGCAAGCCGGGGTTTGCAGACCATTGCTCTAGTCAGTTTGGCTCAGTGGATGGAGTGTAGGCCTGCGGACCAAAGGGTCCCGGGTTCGATCCCTGTCAAGGGCATGCACCTCAGTTGCAGGCTCCACCCCAGCCCCGGCCCTGGTCAAGGCTTGAGCAGGAGATAACCAGTCCATGTGTTCCTGTTGCATTGATGCTTCTCTCTGTCTTTCCCTCTCTCTTCTACTCTCTAAAAATCAATGGGAAAATATCCTTGAATGAGGATTAAAAAATTTTTTTAAATTGATTTCAGAAAAGAAGGAAGAAGGAGAAAGAAATAGAAATATCAATGATGAGAGAGAATCATTGATCAGGTGCCTCCTGCATGCTCCCCCCTCCCCCTCACTGGGTATCAAACTTGAAACCCAAATAGGCCCTTGACCAGAATCAAATCCAGGACCCTTCATTCTGCAGGCTGATGCTCTATCCACGGAGCCAAACTGGCTAGGGCCTGGGGTGAGAATTAAAAAAAAAAAAAAAAAGACTTGTAAGAAGGGGGGCACGTCTCTCGCCCCATCAGGGGTAAGGGGTGTGATGGTGGTGTGTGTGTGGTGGGGGGAGGATCCATCTTTCCATGTCCCAGGAGCGGCCCTAGGAGGGGCTGCAGGCTGGGCAAGGCCAGGAGTCGAAGAGTTCCCAGGCCTTCACCTGGTGGTGAGGGTGGCAGGCAGTCCAGAGCATTGCTGCAAGGGACACATCTGACCACTCATATCTCATTTTGGACCTCTCCTCTGTAATCCAAAGTTTTTGTTACAGAGACATCATTGAAAGCCCCCGATCTCACCCTCAGAGAAGAAGGAGAGACCAAGCTTACTCCAGCTTGTCGCCTGATATCTGTGGACATCTTGACTTAGGTTTTGAGCTCAGTCTGGGGCCAGCCTGCAGTGTCCTCTAAGCTGTGTGTGCAGTTCTTGGGTAAGGTGACCAGATGTCCCGCTTTTGGTGGGACAGTCCCGATTTTTAACAATTTGTCCCGCGTCCCGCAGCATTTTCTTGGACCCTCCTGAGGTCTGTGACACAGGCAGCACCGTGTGAACATCACTCTCTCTAACCTGCTGGATAGTCAATCGGGGCCACGGCAGCTCGCACTGTGTCAGATTACACACCGGCTGCCCAGCCTGGGGCAGGGCTGGGAGCACCCAAAGGCCACTCATCTCCCTTTACCCTGACCATGTCTCTCATACTCCTGGTTACCCTCACTGCCAAGACCCCCCGTGCAGCCCACGACAGACACCAAGCAGATAAGTCTGGATGCAGGCAGAAATCTGGTCCCTGAAATAATGATTCTGCATATTCCCTGAGGTCTGCAGCTGCCGAGCCAGGATGTGGGGAGGGGGATGAGGAGAGGCCAGGGTTCAACCAAGGTGTCTCTCTCTGAAGGTTCTCCATCTTTGAATGGTCCCCATGCAGGTGAGGGTGGCTCTGGCCTCATCTGTAGTCAGGCCAGAATGGAGGACTGACTGAAAGGGATGAGATTGGGGGTCTCAGTAAAAATAAAAAAGTCCATCAGGAAGGAGCAAAAACATCCCCAGAGCAGTGAGGCACAAGAGTCTCCTTCCCTGGGGGACTTGTTAATCACAGGGTTGGGAGGGAAGATAGCAGGACCGGGAGGTGGAGGGTGCTGAGGGGTTGGGCTGGGCCAGGGAAAAGTGTGCGCAGGTCTTTTTGAAGTAGGACTATTCCAGGTAAGTGCTGGGTTGCACAGCAAGAACACGGATGATAACACAATCATACTTTTGCTTTCATGTCTTCCACAGAGGACGCACGGGTTTCCCACAGCCTGGACTTTGATGGGCTTGGGGGTGGGGGTCACTCTGGGTGGGTTCCATCTATGGCCCCATCAGGTTTCCTGAAGGCAGAGATGCCCCACTTTCGGGCGGATATTTTTAGAGACCCTGTCATCCCTTCAACGCCCTCCAAGGTGTCGGAAACCCCTGGGGCCGAGGGCCCCGCCTGCTCGGGGTTAGAGACAGGACAGGACAAAGCATTTTTATTCCAGGAAGAAGGGCCCCTCTCCTACAAGCGGACCCAACCCCGGGCGCCCCGGCGGCCGCCTGCTCCCTCCCCCCACCGCCCCGGGCAGGCAGGGCTCCCTTTGTAATTAATCCGGGGGCTCGAACCCGAGGGGAGGGGCGCGCGGTAATGAGGCAGCGCCCAGGCCGACCGGGCGGCCGCCGCTCCAGCGGGAGCGCCGAGTAATTAAATTATTTCTGGAAGCGGGGGATTAGGGGGGTGCCGGTGTCAGGGAAATCCCCGTATGCATGGGAAGGGGGGCCCACTAATTACCATCAGGGGTGCCTCTGCCTCCTCCAGGCTCGGGGGGTGGAGGGGGTGTGTGTGATGGGGAGGGGAGGGTGGAGGATCAGTCTTTCCACGTCCCCGATCCCGCTGGGCTCCGGGTGGCCGCTCTGGGGCCCTAAAGCAGTGCACGCCGCCATCCCCCGGGGCTCGGGGTCGGTCTCCACCGCAGAGGGTCGAGGAGGGCGGCCCCAGGAGGGGGGCTGCAGGCTGGACAAGGCCAAGAGTGAAGGAGGAGTGCCCAGGCCTCGGCTGGGGGCCCGGGTGGGTAGTGGTGGGTGGTGGGTGGTGGGTGGTGGGTGGAGGGTGGCGGCACCGCCACCGGGCGCGCTCGGGGCCGCGGGCACCTGGAGGCGCGGCGGGAGGGGCGCCGGCCGCGGGAAGAGCGGGGCCGCAGACAATGGGCGCGGCGGCGGGAGGGCGGCGGCGGCGGGAACAGCCGGGGGCGGCGCCGGGCGCGCTCCCCGCCCCTCCGCCCCACGCCGCGCCCCTCCCCCTCCGCCGCCGGCTCCCGGTCCGAGTCCCGATCCCCGGTTCCCGGTTCCTAGACATCAGGGCTCGCCATGGGTGCCTGAGCGCCCCCCTTGCCCCCGGCCCCCTGCCCCGGGGCCTTGCGGGGGCAGAGGCAGCAGCGGTCTGGGACGAAGAGGAGGTGACTGGGCTGCGGAGCCCCTTCCCTCCACCCACCCCCCGCGTCCGCCCGCCGGGCTGGGAGCGCGGAGTTCGGAGCGGCCCGGGGCGCTGCGGATACAAAGGCGCCGGGCGGCGGCGGGGCGCCCGCCCAGGCCACCGGGCAGGTCGCAGCGGCGGCGGGTGAGCCGGGGCGCGGGGCGCGGGCAAAGTTTGCAAAAAATAAAAAGAAAGCAACAGAGCAGGAGGGCTATCCTGCAAGGGGCAGGGGGTGCCCGGCCCCCCGAGCGAGCGGGGCGGCGTAGTGGGGGGGGGGGAAGGGGAGCGTGGGTCAGTCCCCTTCCGGTGCGATCCCCCCGCTGCACCGCGGAGCACCCCCCCCCCCCAACTTTGGGAGGGGAAGGGGCGTGTGGGGAGGGGGCGGAGCTGGGCCTGGCGAGCCGGGGACTTTCCTGGGCCCGGGGTCCGGGTGGGGGCCTTCCTGATCCCGGGGAGCCTGTGAGAGCCGGAGCCTGGGAGTGCGCGGAGGTGCGGGCAGAGGCAGCGCAGGGATGGGGGTGCGGGCGTTGGAAGCGAGGCGCTCAGGGTGCATCCACACCTCTGGGGCGTGGGGAGGGACAGGGGAGGGGTGGCTCAGGGTGCAAAGTGATGTCTTGGGGGGCCTGCCCTGCAGAGGAGAGGGTGTGTGGGTGCCGCTGGAGGATGGGGCCAGCGGGCTGAGACCCCGGCACTGGGCATGCGGGCCCCGGGGACTGGGCGCCGCATCCCTCTCCCCACTCCCAGGTACCCATTGGGGGCGCGGGGGGCTCTGCACGGGTGAGTTTGAAAGGGCTGGTGGAGGACCAGGGTGCACCATTCTTTGTTTTCTTGTGTCCTGCAGTCAGGTGGGCCCCGGGGGCTGGAGGTGGAGGTGTTTTTCTGTGCCCACTGAGTGTGTGTGCAGCCAGGGAGGGAGCGGCGGAGCGCGGGGCTGCTGTGTGTTTGGATATGGATTTACGTGTGCACTCCGGGGGAGGATGGGTCTGTGGGAACGAGGTGGTGGTGGTGGTGGCGGCGGCTGGGGGGTTTGTGGGAAAGAGGTGTGTAGGTATGGAGGGAGATGGGTGTGTAAGAGCAGAATGGGGCATATAGCCAAATGGGCGTGTGTGCGCCTGTGTGCTGGGAAGCGGTGTGTTTGAATCTGTTCTCTTGTGTGTAACCTTTGTGGGTACACCAGTACCAGGGTGTGTGTGTGTGCTTCTGAATGTTGGGGGTACCGCCTCTTGCCTCTGCAGGCAGACTCTCCTGGCGGAAAACCCAAAGGGAGGCCTCTCTGGAGGCGGCGGAGGCTTCTGGGGTGTCCCTGACTGGGCTCTAGGGTGCTGCCTTCAGCCTCGGAGACCGAGGGGTGAGAGGGAGGGGGCCATCTTAGGAAGGGCCTGTTTTGGGAAGTGGGTTTTTCTAGCAAAGGGTGTGTGTTGTGGGGAATAGGAAAAGGGGGTTCTGGGTATAGTCCTGAGGAATCGGGGATTGAAGGAATCAGGGAAGAGAATAAGAAGGACCTCGGACCCCTCTTCATAGGCTGGGCTTCAGTGCTCGGAGGGGTTACGTTCGTGGCTTTCCAGCTCGAATTCAGCCCCGTGCCCCCCAGGCCACTGTTCTCCTGGAAAGCTTTCTTGGAGTTTCTGCCTCAGAGCCCAGTAACTGCCCTGCCTCCAGCATCCGACAGTTCCTCAGGAGTCTTGGGGTTTGGAACGGATGAGACGGGGTAACCAACAACTTGGGTCCCCCTCCATGGGGGTGAGGGTGGCATGGGAGCTCTAGGGAGGCCGGGGGTGGGTGGTCTTCGGGAGTTTTTGAAGACGTGTGTGTGGTTTGTCAAATGGTTTCCCGTTTCACCGGCAAGAAGTATGATCGGATGGGGCTGTGGTTTGGGGCCAGGTCTGAGAGCGAGGAATGGGGGCTGAGCATGCAAGAGGGCAGATGCCCGATTTGGGGAAGGGGCAGGCACTCACATCCCGTCATCAGGACAGCACCGTGCGACATCAGATTGCCTGGGAAGTGGATGTGTCTGCTCCCAGAGAAGCAGCAGCCACCCGCTTTCCCTCCTCACTCTTGTCTTTTCTGGAGCGAAGGGAGGGGGGGTGCCCTTTTCCTTCTTTTGGTGCGCCCCTTGTTTGCCCAGTTCCCTCTCTCCGCCATTTTGCTCTGGCTGGCAGAGGTCAGGTCACGGCACCCAGCCTTAGGAGCTGGGACTGTGCGTGGCCGTGAGGGTCTCTGGGACATGGGATTGGGATGCTGGAGTCCCCAATGGGCACAGCAGTTGGGATGTGTCCTCTGCAGTCCTCAGGCTCCCCACTTTCCGAAGGCTCCGGGATAGGGGTGGTGGGAGTTAGGAAGTGTGGGAGCTGGGTATAGAGGCAGAGTAGGAAGTCTGGATTTTTAAAAAAATGCGTGATTCACTCCAGTGTGACCCCTGTCTGATGGGCAACGCGCCTGCGGCCAGCGTGGGCCCGCATCCGGCACGGTGAGCTGTGGGCTGTGGGCACCTTGCTCCGGGCACTCTCTCTGCATGCGTGTGTACTGGCGGGGCACGCTGCCAAGGAGACAAAAGGAAGTGCCATCTCTTCAGGCACCTCCAGACGGGACCCAGAGGCCACATGCCCGCTCTGCGCCTGCCCCCCTGGGCTTGCTCCTGCGTCTGTTTCCTCTGATTTCCCAGGGGAGGCCTCTCTGTGGTGCCCACTGTCTGTTCCTTCTGTTCCCCGGAAGCCTGAGGAAGGCCCCCCTCCCTGGGTCCAGACCAAGACAGACGTTTGTCTGCTTGTCCGGTTCCCAAGCGGGCCTTCCCGTTGGAAGGGGCGTGAACTTACTCGGTGAACAGAAGCTTTGAGGGAAGAGTTCTGGGGCTCTCCTCACTTCCTCTGAGTTTTAGGGGTTCCAGTCGTCTCCTCCTGCAGCAGCTCCCCACACTCTGAGGCCCACGGGAAGAGTCTGACGTGGTTGGGATTAGCACTACATAGCGATGTCATGTTGGGGTTTAAGAATCCCGTTCCTCAGCCTCTTCGGTGTCTTAAGACACCAGCCTCTAACCCCAGGTAGGACCTTTCACAGTAAATCCCAGGTCCGCCAGGCCTCCTTCCCTGGGTCTCAGCTGCGTTTAAATCCCTTTTTTGTCACCTCCTAGTTTTGTGGCCTTAGAAAAAAATAGGTAACTTTAAAATGTATTTTTAATATATATATTATATATATTTTAAATATATATTTTATTAATTTTTTACAGAGAGGAAGGGAGAGGGATAGAGAATTAGAAACGTTGATGAGAGAGAAACATCGATCAGCTGCCTCCTGCACACCCCCCACTGGGGATGTGCCTGCAACCAAGGTACATGCCCCTGACCGGAATCGAACCCAGGACCCTTCAGTTTGCAGGCCGATGCTCTATCCACTGAGCCAAACGGGTTTCAGCTATAGGTAACTTTCTGAAGCCTCACCTGTCTCACGCAGTTAAACTAGGTGCCGCCTCTATGTTTATGAGCATGAGATGGAGTCCTCTGTGGAGAGCATCACACGGTGCCCGGCACAGGGGGCGCCCTCGGGAGTCGATGGGAGCAGCTGCGGTCTGGTTCTGGTTCTGGTTCTGGTGGAAGGTGGCGATGGAGAGAGGTCTGGGCTGGGAGGACAGAGGCTTTGCTTCTGCTCTCCTTCCGGCGGACCACGCTGGGCACTTCCATTTGCTAGGCCCGGTGTGGAGCCCCGGGGACGGGGGGGGGGGGGGGGGGGGGAGGGGGGGGCGTGAACGAGACAGGTTTTCACGGGGCAGGCATGCCTAAGCATGTTGACCCATTAGCCCAGTGAGTGCTGTGTGGAGGTATGTTCTGGAGGCCGCCATAGAGCAAGGGTGCTTGGAGAAGGGCCTTATGCTGGCCGTTTTTAAAAAATATATATTTTATTGATTTTGTACAGAGAGGAAGGGAGAGAGATAGAGAGTTAGAAACATCGATGAGAGATAGACATCGATCAGCTGCCTCCTGCACACCCCCCACTGGGGATATGCCCGAAACCAAGGTACATGCCCTTGACCGGAATCAAACCCGGGACCTTTCAGTCCCCAAGCCGACACTCTGTCCATTGAGCCAAACCGGTCCTGGCCCTGGCCGGTTTTTTAATTGAGGTGCATGTCACATCACATAAAATTAGCCATGTAAAGGCGAACAGTGGCGTTTGGTACATTCTCAGTGTTTGTGCAACGCTGGCTTCTATCTGACATCCCTTTTCCACCACTATGCAGTGCCTTCCCACTTTCCATCACCAGTCTGCATGCTGACTCTGCGGGTTTTTACCTGTTCTGGATATTTCATAGAAATGGAATTTTCCAGTGTGTCTGGCTTCCCTTACTTCCTGTGACCTTTGCTGGGTTCATCCGAGCGGTAGCAGGTGTCAGACTGCGTTCCTTTTCATGGCTGAGTCGTAGTCCACCGTGTGGCTGGGCCTTGGCTGGACGTAAAGGACGCACTGCAGGCGGAGGCTGAGCCAGCTCAGGGGTGTGGGTGAACCACACACAACTTGGCATTATTGGGTCCTGGAGAATGTGGTGGGGACTTGGCCTCAGTTTCCCTGCCTGTGAAACCAAGTCCTCTGTGGTTGGTGGGATGAAGGAAATGGGAAGAGAAAAGACTGGGCTATTATTGCCTCTTCTCAGCGTCTGGGTGGGGAAGGGACTTTTTCATATATATAGTTATATATGTTTTTATTGATTTCAGGAAGGAAGTGGGAGGGAGAGAAAGAGATAGAAACATCAGTGATGAGAGAGAATCATCCATCGGCTGCCTCTTGCACATCCCCTACTGGGGATTGAGCCCGAAACCCAGGTCCCGTGCCCTGACTGGAGATCGAACTGTGACCTCCTGATTCATGGGTCAATGCCCAACCACTGAGCCACCCTGGCCGGCAGGGATGGGACTTTTTAACTCACTCTTTCCTCCTTTCTGGGCAGCGCCCTCTTTATGCATCTCTCTTCCTCCCCTTGGATTCCCATCTTCCTATTCTACTGAGCGACCACTTCCCATCTCTCCGAATTGGCCTGACGGTTCTCCTCTTACCCACGCCAGGTGGGTAGTCACTTGGGTGGCTTCTGTCATGTGACCTCTTTGAGATCTGGAGAGAAACGAGGCAGCTCAGGGAGAATCCTGCCATTCCTCCCC